GGTTTTCCCATCATATATGTTTAAAGATAAATAATTTATACAATATTACTTTCTTTTTTATCATTATTTTTTTTAATTTAAGTATAGTTGGTATGCAATCTTATACTGATTATATTATCAGGTACAAAATATAGTGATTTGATGTGTTTATACCTTACAGTGTGATAACATCACTAATTCTAGTAATGCTCTGTCACCATATAAACTTATCACAGTATTATTGGCTATATTCCCCTTCCCCTTTTGACCCATCCTTCAACCCCCTCCCTTCCGATTAATATCCCTTTAGTCTCTGTTTCAAGTTTACTTTCAAGTTGAGAGGTTGGAATATTATGATGCTCATTCTTGGATCATTTATTTCCTTTCCCAAATTTAAAACTACTACTCTAAGAAACAGAAGTTAGTATTTCAGGAAAGCTAACATTGATAATCAGAAATAAACTGGAAATAATGGCAGAAGAATGAATAGAAAACCAAAAACCATTGCTGTCCTTTCTGCACCGCCTTTGACTTCCTCTCCTCTCATTCACCCCCTTTCCCACACTTCCCGATTCACGTCACTACAGAGAGATTTGCCAAGAAAGAGAAAAGTAACTTTTACCTGAGAAAGTGATGGTGTGATTGCAGATATCATCTTGGCTATCATTGCTGAGTGTTTCTGGAGAATGGATGTATATTCCAGAAGCCTTGGAAAACATTCCAAAAGTTAGAACCAATTAGTCCTCTCTCATCTTGCCTACACGCAGAAAGAACTATGATTTCTAAACCTCCGTTGGCTATGCCAACAGTCAGAATCAGGAGGAAACCTTTATACCCATAAAACAAAGTACATGAGCAGCAAAAATGACAGAGTTCATTTTTATGCACTCTCTAAAATATTGAAGGCCTAAGGCCCAATTTAACTAAAATACATGTACGGAAGGTATAGCTGTGAACAAGATTTGGAGGCATCCTGACATTGGGGCAGGAGGATGCTGGGAGTTTGTTATCAAATATATTTAGCAGTAGATGTGATGTATAATCCCTTTGATGTCCTAGGGTTCTGATAAGTCTCTTCATACCTACCTCCCAAGGTTATGTAAGAATTAGTGATATTTAAAACATGCCTAACAGTTTATTTATTAATCTTTTTTTTTATTTAGACAATACTTATTAAATAACCACCATGTGCCAGACATTGTTTAAATAGCAGTGAGAGAGAAAAAAAAAAACACACACAAAAAACAAAACACCAACTCATCACCTAAAAACAAATCAATGAATAACAGACAGGAACTCATAGGGGATATTCTAATAGATTCCATGGTAGTTTTATGGTTGTTAACAGATCAGATCATCAGAAATGTATTTGTTTGCTGGCTGCTTGCATTTGTTTATTTGTTTGTTTGATTTTTTTCTGCTTGTATTTTAAACATTTACTAAAGATAGTGATAGTCTACTTCTATTAAATATTTTTGAGTTAAAATAAAATAGTTTAAAATAAAGTTTAATAAATTCTAATAAAATGATCTACCTTTGGTTTAGTGTTATTGATAAACAATGAACATTTTTTTAAAGCAGTCAGAATTTATGATATGGCCCCACAATTTTCAATTTTTTTTTAGTTTGACGTCTTAGAAAGGTTATTTCAAATCAGTAGTTTCAAGAAATAAAACAGTCTGCTCCCATAGAAATCCAAGCATGGCGCTGAAATTCATTTCTTTATTCCAAAATCCAGATATGCTTTGTTTTTCTGATAGAGATGTATATCAGCTTTCAGCCTCCCTTTACATTCATTAATCCACAATAAATTGTTAAAGATTAGATTTTTCAATTGTATCCTAACTTTATTTGCATAAAAGAAAACATTTTATCTACATACTATATATATCTCCTAAGTGAACTCTCCAGAAATTTTTATATAATCTCCATAAAATCGTTGTCCAATTACTTAAAAATTAATTGCTGTCATAGTAGCTCACAGTGGGAAATATTTGCGGTTTTCATTTGCCATCTACTCAGTGTGCCTCTAAAATCTGCTTGCGTGGAGGAGCACTTCCTCGAATAAATCTGTTCTTTTTCTTCTATTGATTAAAGCTAAGTGCGTTCAGATGTTATTACATCAATGAAAGCTTCAGCCTTTTTAATATGGGTATCTTAATGCATTTTAATAGCATAAAGTCCTTCAAATGATCTATTGGGCATCTACTTTTAGATAAAATGACCAGGCAGTGGCCATCTGCACTAAAATAAAATGAAGTGTCAAAAATGGTTTAAATCAAAGCCTTAACCATAACTAGTTCATGGGATATTTAGAAGTTGATTTAAAGATTTATCATTTCATTACTTTTTCCTCAACACGTCATCACACACTGAGCATGATATGAGATTGACAGTACAAATTTTCCTAACAAATAATAACGAGGAAGCTGTGAACACCAATCTTCTCCCTTGGCTCAAAACAGTTGTTCTCAGACTTAAGCATACATCAAACTCACCTAGAAGACCGTTTAAAATGCAAATTTCTAGGCCCTATCCTGAGACTTCCTAGTTGAGTAGGCTTAAAAAGTTAAATGTCTAACAGAATTAATACTGGCTTAAATAAATGACGGAGAGAAAAAAAACATGTTCATTGCAGGTGTAATGTTTAAAACAGACTTCTTAAATGTGGTATGACAGGTAACTATTCTCCCTTACTTCAGGTAAGCTAAATTATTACATCTTTTGTTTGGGTTGTTATGTCTTAACTAATCAAATGGCTCATGGAAAAGCACTCACCAGGATGCAGGAATCTTTTTCACATAGATTACTTAGAAATATTAGGAATGCTATTACTTAGAGGCGCTCTCTCCACTAAATATACTGTAAGGACGTGTTTAGTTATGAATGATTTTCACCACAAAATACCGAGAAATCCTCTTCATTTGTCCTTATTCTTCACATATGCTCCCACACTTTAGGAGTTACTTCTTCAACAGGTGCACCTGGGAATTGAAGTCCTTTTGAAGCAAAATTTGGTAGAGAAAGAAGAGTATGCTGCACCTGCTCACGAGGAACTTCTTCCACTTCTATTCTTTACAATTTTCTTTAAAAAGGGTCTTATCGAATTCTCCTGTTAAATATGTGTACATGTAGGCTGTCCACAAAAGTGTTATCTGTGTTTCACAGCAATCTCTGGTATTTTTATTTTTTCATTTTTATAAAACTGGAACCCTAGGGCATCTCTCTGCACTTAATGTCAAGGTAAAGCTACTAGGTGTTTAGATATAATAATTATAATAACATTTTCATCAAATCTGCTGAGGTCAGGTCCCTATTTCTGTAATGTTAAAGTCATTACATTTATTGTGCTAGGTCATAAATAAATGATAGCTATCCTAATTAAAAAAAATACTAACGATGATGACTAACATTCATTGAGCATTTACTACAAACCGAACGCTATATTGACACAGACACGAACTTACATCAATAATCAAGGCAACCCTATGAGAAAAGTACTCTTTTTATTTGCAATTTAGGAATGAAAGGAAACTGAATGTCAGTTCAGTGACTTCCTCAATGTCACTCCATGAGTAAAGGATGAAATTCTGACTTCTATCAAGGCAACTTTATTTCAGAGTCCATCACCTTAATGACTACCTTTGTCTTAACCATGAGTTATATTTTGTGCTATTTTTTGTTATATTGTTACTCAAGCTAAGTACAAATTTAAGACATTTCATAAGGTCCTTCATAAAAGTAAAACATCTACAGAGAAAGATATGTTCAATGTTTAAAACAGAGAAATAGAACAGAGAAATTATTTCATTTATGCCTCAAATAACCTTAATATACTACTTGTCATATAGCATGTGGGTGACACAATGCGACTCTCCACAGGTGTTAAAGTATTCTGAAATTATAGTTCTCATGCTTGTTTAGGTGCTAAGTTAGAAAGCAATATTGCTGCTTTCTTACAAAGAAGTGATCCTTTTTTTTTTTCTATTTAATGAAATTGCCAAAGTTGAATGGGACATACTTGTTCAAATAGACATGAGATATTAGGCATCATCGTTACATTCTCTAAATTTCATAAACATGAGAGCATTTCCCTGGTAATTTTTTATGGTATATTTGATATCACCTTGACTGTCATGCTTGATAGGAAATTGTTGTAGAAATTATGTTGTAGTTATTTATAATAGAAGTATAAGCTATACTTTTTTCTACATTAGCTGTTGCCCGGTGTTTCATATTGAAGTGATTAATATCACAGAATCATAAATATGAATTATTAGACTAATTCTCTGACATCCGAAGAAATAACTTAGCGCCAAGTTAATGCAGCTTTGCAAATGAAATAAGCACATTCAACCGGCACCGATTCCAACTATGTGTATCTATCCAAACAGCTCTCTGCACAGTGGTAATTCTCCTAATCCCTATAATTTATTCATCTCAGGATACACTCCAAAGCATTGTTTGCATGTGTTATCCCCTAGTTTTAAAAACAGTATTCATTATTGGGTGGGAACAGATGTAACTGCTCGGAAAGGCTTGTTGCAATGGTGTTTGTGCTGAGGAACATTCCATTTGGCAAACACGTGCAATCTGATGAGTAAAGTTAAAGAGGAATCGTGAGGATTCAAGATTTAAGTCCTTTACCTCCCAGACCTTCTCAAAAGCCACACTACAATCACCATAACAACCCCAAATCTCATTCTACATGCCCATATACTCTCAAACTGAAAAGAAAACCACAATTGCCCAGTGGAATTCTTAAATACCCTGAAATATGCTATTTCAAGCCCCAGACATCAAATAGACGGAAAGGTAATGATTTTAATTTTCATCAGCTCATCAAAGCTGAGGTTTTAAAGGAATGAATGTTTCTCCTTATTGACACAAACCATCATGACAACTTAGAAAACTGGAAAAAAAAAGATTCCTTGGACCAAAAGGGATGTCACTCAGCTTTAAAGGGCATTTCAAATCTTTTGATGTCATCGGAAATGCTGATGTCAAGTTTTATGTTACAGGTCATTCAGACAGTGAGTGCCATGGACAAAGATGATCCCAAAAATGGACATTATTTCTTATACAGTCTTCTTCCAGAAATGGTCAACAATCCGAACTTTACCATCAAGAAAAATGAAGGTAAATACATTAGCATTGTGAAACAGGGTAAAATGTAAATTGGAAAGTAGGATGTGAGTTCATAATATGACTGAAAATGTCAATAAAATAAGTTTTGTTCACCCGCAAGCAGTTGAAACCCAGCTTATCAGTTTAATGACGTGATAATTACATCACTTCCTCTTTCTAACATTGAAACAATAGATAAGAAAATTGTTAATGACAAAGTTAATTTTATCCCAGGGCATACCTCATTCACCTGACTTTATACGATGAACAGTAAGATTTAACCCTTGTGAAAGTTTCAGGAATTTTGAGATACTGAGGTTTCTGTTAGAGGAGGAGCTGGCTTATACTCTGCAGTTGTTAAATTTTAATTAAATGTTTACCAAGTCTTTAGGGAAAGCCTATTTTAATTTTACTTGGTTTGTGGGTACATATTCGAGGTATTTGTTGTAAACCTGAACCAACATTGACAATAGCAATTAGATCAGAAAATTTTTCTTGAAGGACACTCCTTATCAGTATTATTATGGAGTTAATACAAACTGATTTTATTAAGCCTTTCACTCATGGAGAACATTTAATGCATTTCATTATTTCTTGAGAACCAAGTTTGAATTAACCATTTCTCTTAACTATTGTCTATTACATATGAAGGTCATAGATCATTATTTAAAAAGTTTATCTCGTCTGTACATTTTTCTATGCTGCTGTCTATTTAACAAGGATTTTTAACTGTTTATTTTGGTTCAGATATATTAAAGTCTCTAGCAAAATAAATGTATTGTCTCAGGCTGCATTCTGGCTATACTATAGGCATTTGTTGAGATTTCTGAATGGTCTATTTAAAAGCTATGTTCAATTAGAAGAGTAAAATTTGGCTCGTGGCTTTTTTTTGGATTATTGCTATGTTCTGTTTCAAGGAGTTAGTGAATTTTGATACAACTTCCTTTATAAAATAAAATAACATTTTATGGCTCTTGTTAAATATATTATAGCCTTACCTGTTAACATAATGCTACTTAGTTCTTTGGGGATGCTTTGATAAAAGTGGATGCATCACAGAAAAGAAAATGAGAAAGTTGTTATACAGATATTATTCAGTTAGCTGGCTTCCACTGTTATAAACACTAAGGAGACAAAATCCTGTTCTTTCTCTTCAATAATGGAGTTCTCATTTGTCAGCCTCACCTAATTAGGAACTCTACTCCAAGTGCATTGCCTTTGTTTTTCAGTTAACACTGCCAAGGTTTCTTTTTTCACTGAAGTCACATGAATGTGGCTAAGATGAAAGCCCCCTCAAAAATCCCAAACTGAGCTGAAAATCTGCATAAGTGTGGTGGTCCAAGCTTACTTAGTGCTAATAGGTATCAGTCATTATTTTTACATATAATATGTCCTACATTTAAAAATTCTCTGTGAAGAAATGTTTTTCCTTCCAGAAGGTTCTGAGCTTTTTGGTATTTTCTGTGTGTTTTGCAATTTCAAGGTGTGCCTGTTATAGGTATGGCCTTTCAGTTTTTTTAAAGAGGACATTTTAGTTCTTCAGTGAATAATTTCATGCATTTTCTCTAATTTTTGGAACTAGTAGAAAGTAAAAGGTTATACACTTAGGAAAGCATATTTTAGCCCCATTATACTTTGCAATAAACCCTGTAATAGAATATGTAAAGGAATATGGGCTACCTGTTTTATTCTGAAACTAGAAAATGAAAGTTACAGTTTTTATTTACCTCATCGGTTTGGATGTGTGTGTGAGAAATAATTGAGACAAAAAAAAAAAAAAAGATGCCTAAATTACAAAATTACTCAAGATAGAAAGAGAACTCTGTGCTCTGATTACTTATTTTAAATTACTTACCTATTCATTTTGCAAAGAATGACCATATAATTTATTATTTCAACTGGGACATTTTTTAAAGTGAAAGGGGTTGCTATTCATATTTATATTTATGCCTGGAAAAACTATAAACCAGGACTATCTTGTGGAAACTAGGGCATATGTTCACTGTGATTATGAATTTAGGATCCAAATATTTACTATCTCCATAGAATAAATCATGAACCTACAGGTCTTTGGAATAGATATGTCAAGTTTATACTCTATCTCTCTTTTTCCTGTATTAGAAATTCATGAATTTTGCTTCATAGACCACTATTTTTTTTTTTTTTTGGCATCTGGATAGTTTCTGTGAAAATACAAAAAGCAATTTGTCTTTAACATGTAAAGACAAAGAAATGGAAAGAGTTATCAGATTTAAAACGTTGGAGATATATAGATATGTAGGTAGATACATAGGTATTTGTGAGCCTGTTACTCATTCCTTATTATTAATGATGAGAGAACACAAAAACAACCAAGAAAATCCAAATGATAGACATTATTTATTTTAAAACTATGGTATATTTTATGCTTAAAACTTAGATGGACTCAAATAGTATAATATATTTAGAATATGGTCAATGATGTTTCTCCACTGAGAGCATCATGACTTTCAAATTCCTTTCTCCCAGATAAAGGTTAAGATCTTTGAGATAGCCGATATATTTAAATTCATAATTGATGGGTGGATGACCCCTCTTATAAATTAGAACTTTAAAGGAAATAGTTTCAGTATTTGCTGTTTTCTTGCATCTGTGTCTTTCTACACAAAGTTATTGTGATCTTTCTCTTCTCTCGTATAGATCGGTCCTACTGCAATTTTCAGTCAACTAATTCAAAATCAAAGACAAAATGAGATAGAAATTAACTGTCTCTTGTCTCTTACACAGTAGAGTGATTTCATATATAATTCTCTTTCTGAATATATGAGAATTATATTTCTGCCAGAATAGGAAGACAGCCTTCAATATAGATAAAGGTGAAAGAAAAAGCCAAAAATATAATGAGTCATTTATATCACATGTGCACACCAAATAATCATAACACCTTGAACTTTCTAAATTATATTGCCCAGACATTGCTTTCTTCATCTTCTAGTTGGGTGAATTTATAAACAAAAGGAGTTTGAGTTTTGCTGACCACATTTCAGTATTGGTGTCCCTTCCAATCATGAAAATGGAAGATACCCAACAATTAAATATAACAAGACAGATATAAATACAACAAGAATATAAATGAACCTTTTACAGATACAGAAATATCCTGCAGAAATTTGAGGTCTACAGAAACCTGATCTTCTCTACCCTGTATATTGTAGGTAAAAATAGGACTGGATTTGCCACAAAGTAGTCTGGTGAAATGAGAATCTTCATGATTTGTACTGAAGTGTTTGAATCAGGTATATAGAGAAATGTGGGAAAACATAAAGCTCTGCTCCCTAAAGAGGGCCTGTGAGAAGAAAAGAGTAGGTAGAGAACTTGGCCTTAATTACAGCTTGGTTAGGCTTCAGAAAAGACAGCAGGGGAACCAGAGTACCTGATGATGCTAATATTTCTTTTCCTTCCTATTATCTCCTTTTGGACTGAAATCCAATTGGCAAGAATCGCACTCTGAAGGCATAATAGTGGTAATTGATTTGGATAATGTAGATGATGATTGGAACTTTTGAATTATCTGTGTCCTGGGTTATCTCAATGTCCATAACATGGTTGGTTACCTGTTAGATTATAATTTATGCTTTGTTTTGTGGAGTTTCCATTTCAACTGATTGGGGAAGCAGTATAGATTTTATGTCTTTTTATCCCCTATAAGCATTACTTGTAAGAACACTGACTAGAGGTAGGTTATTTTACGTCTCAGTTTCCTCCTCTGTAGTGCAGGATAACAATAGCTATTCACCCCAGAGGGGTGCTGTGGTGGGTATGCGTGACCTGGGGCTTAGCTCTTAGCAAAAGAGCAAAAGAGCTCTTGGCACAATGTCTGGAACATAGAAAATCACTCACCAGCAAATGAGACAAGATCCTTGTTTTAGGAATCCATTATTTCCTAGATTCCCATGTTACGTTTCATCTCGTCTGGCTTATCATTCTCAATCAGGTCTCTTTGCAGCTTTAACTCCATTGATTTTTGAATGTGGTACACTAATTCTGAAAGTGGGCTCATTGGTGCTTGTGAAAACCCTGATCCTCACTAGACTGCATTGCAAGAAATCTGCTTAGCAATGTGTTGCAGTACAAAGAGTTTTTATAAGAGAAAGATAAAAGGAAATAAAAAAGAAAGAGGAGGAGAAGAAAATGGGGGAAAAAAAGGAAAATACTTGTCAGCCACATAGATGCAGGATTTCTGGATCTGGTTTTAAATATGAAGGCTTTTTTTTTTTCCTCTCTCTTTTGCAAAAATGAAACTCAGCTTTCTCCACACCATGGCTAACTCCAGCCTCCAACTTAAGATGACTTTCTATTCTTGTATATCAGGTTGTTTTAAATCACCGGTAACCGCCCAATACACATACTCTGTGGGAATGATTTTGCATAAATTGAAATATTGGACAGTCTTCCTTTGCTCTTTCGAATAAGGTCAACTTTTATCTCAGATTCCTCTTGTCACAAAACTAAAATTTGCTGCCTGAAAATGGAAGTGGATTTCCCTGATCCCAAAAGCCAGTCAGAGGTGACCCTCTCTCCTCCATCTTCTCTCAGACTGAGCCCTCATGCATGCCTCTCCTATACTCAGGATGAAAGCACTGAGGTAGGCAGGGTCCCTCTGTCATTCACCTTCAGCCAGCTGTGCCCCATCCAGGCTAAACTGGACCTGAAAGGCCTTCCTGATGATCTGCACAGAAAAAGGGCCACTTTGATAAGCCAATTGTCTTTCTGGCCACCATGGGCCTTCTTAAGTTCTATTATTCCAGGCTTCTTTGAAGCTGATAGAGGAGTTTCTGAAATAGCATTTCTTTCCTCAAGCGTCCTTCGCAAAAACCTCCTTCCCTCAGCTCAGCAAATCCATTATCAGTGGGTTTCCCAGGCAACCATACCTAAACAACACGTGACGACTGTGTGTTTGTATGAGTACAATCATGAATACCTATATGTGTGTGTTTCCAATACGGTGACCTATCTACTCAGCTTACATAGTG